GCAATTTCGTACGCGTGGTTGGTAGTGACTAAACACTTCTAGATGCCTTATCAAGAATCATCGAGGTAAAACTTAAAGAAAATTTCGGGAACACAGCTGTGGAAATCTAAAAAAAGCAAAAGTACCAAAGTAATCGACTTAGCCCGAAGTATAAATAAGCTGAAGGTGCAATGGGCTGGTCACAGTGGTACACACTGGTAGCTCGAAGAACTGACAACTGATGGGGAAGAAAGGTTCTTGAGTAGCGACCTCGTACGGGAAAACGCAGTGTACGTCGACCCATATTAGAGGAGAGACGACCTTAGATGCATTGCAGGGAGTCAGTGTATGCAAGCTGAGTATCGTTACTTATACAGATAATAGCTGAGACAATAGTGTTGATAAATTTTGATAATCGCATTCAATGGTGGAGAAATTTTTGCGAGATGACGTAACAGACAAACAGATAGACAAAAATTCTAAAAATAATTAAGATACAAATAAAAAAACTCACTTTTATATGTTATTTATAATTTTAGTAAAGTAAGTTATGGATGTTAATATAAGGATATGTTTTATAGTTTTTCTAAATATAGAACAATATATGGTCATAGAAAATTTATAATACACATTGTTCTGTGTATTGAATTGACGACAAAGTCACGAACAAACAAACGTCCATTTTTATTAGAAAATGGCCGTTGTACGAGTGTTTTGAGTGGGCAAACAAAAGACCCTCTCGAAAGGGTTTACAAAAAACCTTGGTTGTACTTGTAACGTAATTATTATTAGTAATAGGATTACTAGCCGTTTTGTTTGTTCCTTTCAAGCTACCGACGCCGAAGGTTCGTAGTAAGTACGAAGGTATAAAAAAAACATCGGGTTAAATTGATTTTCTTTAGTAAGTCTGCAAAGTGAAATCAAAGCCATTAATCGCATGTAAAACTAAGAATCTATTCATGTTATAAAATAAATATATATAATATAAATATTACATATAAAATGTATATATTTCCTGACCTATTTATATATAATATAAATAGGTCAGGAAATTGGTGAATTAAATATTCAATCATAGATTTTATTCTACAGTGTAAACAATTTAAACACGTATTCTACAAAAAATGGTATCGATTGTAGCAAAACCAGTTATTTTATTTAATTAACAGATTTAAAAATTAAACTGCTGAGCCGTTTTCGATGGAGTCACGTCCGTAGGTCTATCGTGTTGAATTTTACAAGAATTAGCTACGATAATTGCAAGGAGCAACCGTGTGGAGGCGAATCTGACTGGATATATTGGTAGCAATAGAGCAAGTAATTCACATTACTTAAAATAAGAGGGAAGTAATCCTCCCCCCCCCCCCCCCAGTCATACTCACTTAAAATTGGGGGGAAGGGATTGTTAGTAATGCGGACTACCAGTCCCATTGCTAGCAATATACTCTATCAGGTCGACCTCCACGTGGTTCCTCCTGGAAACCATCGTGCTGAATTCGAGATGTATTCATTACGATGGGCTAACTGACCTGCTTTTTCATTTTCACCTACCATCCCTCACTGGTTCCCTACCAGCGTATATCGTTAGCGCAGGTGGGGTTACCATTCCATTATCATCCAATAAAAAAAAAACTCCCTTAAAATTAGAATTACACACGCACACACACATATATATATATATATATATATATATATATACAAATACCACGTGTACTTTCATGACGACTGGTTGGGCTGTCAGTGTATTTTTGAGAACACTTGTAGCACGTGTAGAGACGGCGAGTTTTTTGTAGCCACCACGGTACAAACATTAATGAACTGTACGCTCGGAAGCAGCCAGACCAGGATATCCTGTTCGAAAATAAAAGAGCTACCCTACACCCTTGCAATATTAGTACCAGTACAATGAATTTTGATAACTATACTTATAGTAATAAAGTCTATATTTATATTTAAACACAGGCAACTTCTAAACACTGAGCTTTGTGCAATCCAGTGTGTGAGTAATGGTTTGAAATGCCATCTTTGAAGTAGTAATTTTTTTTAGTAGGTAAGAATTATTTATAGATCGATCTTTTGCCTAGAGGGATGTAGTTTTTTTGCTGTCAGCTGATGCGTCATGGTTGTATAGAGATTTAGTTCTGTTTTATAGAGTAGATTTGTAGATTTTTGCTTCGCATAAAAACCACTAGGTATCTACTTCAATCATGACAAAATAAATATGATTCAGAAAACATTTTGATAAATGCCGTGGAACAAAGTTCAAATATTTTAAGTAATATCTTCACTAATATTATAAATGTGAAAGTGTGTTTATTTGTTGCCCTAAAGCGCTTTAATGATTTAATCAATTACTATGAAATTTAATTGAGGGGGAGGGGGGTAAAGGTTAAATTTTATATACACCTATTTCCAATTGTTTAAAAGTACACTTCTAAACATAGATAAATAAGTAGATATTCCCTTATTCAATTTATGTCTTTTTAAAGCATTCTGAACTCTCCTAAAATCGCAGCATACACATACCATATACGATGGAGGAGGTTATTATAGGCTTACTATCTCGGGTAGGAGACGTATTTCGGTCATAAGGATGAAGTCGCGGTAAAAGCTAGTTACATTAACAAAATTAATATGGAAGAAAGATTCTGTTGTTAGCCACCACTCTAGCCTACAATTACAACTCAAATATTCACTCATTTGCTGACTCATCTGAACAACAGCAACAAATTTATTTTATTCTGTTTATGCAACTTAGAATGGCAAACAAGCCGACTACCTAATGAAGTCCACTTAATGGAAAGTGGTTACCGTCGCCTATAGATATGAGCAGTACTATGGACATAACAGTGTATACTGTTTCGCCCATGATTGTCTCCATGTTGTCGTTCCTGAGGACTCAGGTGTTATTCGTTTATACCCAGTAACTTCACTGCCATATGTCCACCCTTCAAATCGAAACACAAACACAATTGCTTCACGGTAGAAACACGAATGGGATGGAGCGAATTTTTGTAGTCTCCCTTTGGTAAGTAATTTTAAATAATTTATCTCAACAAGTCTACTTTAATGTCACAAAAATTCTCTCTAATGGTTATACTTATATAGAATTTAGTTCAAAAATATTTTATTTATTTATATGCTATTGTACATTTATTTATAGTATAGATATAAAGTTATAACAAAAATATAAACAGGCGGATATAAGTCCTTTAAGAGATAACCCTTAAAGGGATTTCTTACAGTCAACCTTGAGAATCCGAAAGGAGAAAGTGTCTATAGGGTTTGCATATAAAGCACATATGCATATAATTGATTTTACACTAAGGAGGATTTTAAGTATACTTTTAAACAAATGCAAATAGGAGGACATGAAGGATTTTTTTTTTCAATAGATGATAATGAAATGGTAATTATGTCTGTACAATTGGTATACACAAGCGAAGCATCACTGAGGGCATCATCAGTAAAGATACAACAGATCAGTTGGTCCATCGTGACGAATTAAACAAGAATTAGTTTTTTTTTTATTCAACTTAGAATGGCAAACAAGCTGACGGCCCACCTGATGGAAAGTGGTAACCGTCGCCTATAGACATGAGCAGTACCATGGACATAACAGGGTATTCATGACATTTCACCCATGATACCCCCCCCATGCGTTGCCATTCTTGAGGACTCAGTTGTTACGCCATATCCCACCCTTCAAACCGAAACACAGTCATGCAAACACAACTGTTTTACGGTTGAAACACGAATGGGACAGAGGTACCCAAGCAATCGACCTAAGAGGGTACATTGCTAGCAATGGGACCCCGAGGATAGTGTTAATAATGAGGTCAAACAGACCCATTGCTCGTAACATACCTCATCAAGTCGACCTCCATGTGGCTCCCCCTGGAGCCCATTATGTTTAATATTCATTAAATTTATCACAATGGGCCAACTAACCTTCTTTCACCTTTACCTATCATCTCTCATTGGTGCCCCGCCAACGTATACCGATAGCCCAAGCGGGGTTACCGTTTCATTCTAGTGTATATATTTCATTCCATGGTACTGTTCATATATATAGGCGGCGGTTACAATTTTCCATCAGTGGTCAGCTTTGCCGTCAGCTTGTTTGCCATTCGAAGTTGCATAAAAGAAAATTCTCACCCGTTAAAAAGAACTGGGCATAGGTTTATAAACCATTGATAGACAACATTATTCTGTGGCTTATTCTTCTATATGGTATATTCATATATTATGTAACTCTATATAAAAAAAAAACTCCGCTTATGGTAACGGAATGCACTGGCGAGGCTCCTGTGAAGGGTGATAGGTAAGAATGAAAAGGCAGGTCAGATCGTGAAGAATTCCACGAGAAGTAACCACGATGGTTTTCAGAGGGAAGCATGTGGAAGTCGACCTGATTAGTAAGATTGTTAGCAATGCGGCTGTTAGACCCCATCGCTAGCAATCCCATTCCCCCCAGGCAAGTCAGTTAGCCCATCATGATGAATACACCTGGAATAGAGCATAATGGTTTCCAGGGGGGACCACGTGGAGAGGTCAACCTGTCAGGGTATATTGCTAACAATGGGATTGGTAGTTCGATTACTAACAATCCTCCTTTTCCTCCTTCGGGCGGGGTTACTAAACAATTTTTATCGATTAATAATATAAAAACAAAATGGACCAACTTTTATTTATGGGTGTGGTGCGGGTGTCAGCTTCACTAGTTTTTACATTGAAAGGACAGTATTGAAAGAAATTCTTAGAGTCGAAGTCAATTCGATAATTATAACACATAGATACTTTCTCACGATTAAGTGTTTTGTTGAATCTGTAAGTTACGTTTATTGACCTGTCACCCACATCATATACGAATAGTATAAAATCATTCGCTACATTCACCCTTGTTGAAAACTTGTGCTATCTCTCTTTAACTATCGTTAGTAGTAAGTTGTTATCTCTTTTCTTTACAAGTCATTCGGCCAACTCAAATCGTTCGCAATTGTTTGCTTCGCTCACTCAAACTCGATCGTTCAGTTTTGTGCTGACCGTTGTACGAGTGCCTCGTTGCGCGCATGCGTTACTGACTGGCTGTCACGAAAGAACGTAAATAAACAAGTGAACAATTTTGTGCCAAATATTTTGTTTTTCATTTGATTTTGTCAATTTTATGTAAATTATTGGAACACAAGGCAAGAAACAACTGAAGTAGGAATTAATCAACCTCTTTCTGAGTGAGTATTTATGTTTTTTATACTTTTTCTCATGCCACTGTCGTTCTGCGATGGCCGGCACTGATAATTTCAGACAGGATCTTTGCTATTTATTGTGTACCTACTACATAACAATTCTTGCTTTTTATTGTACAATTTGCAAATAGATATTTCTGCTGATCTCAGTATCGAGAAAATGAAACTTATTTATAATTAAAAATTTGAGAGGTTATGTTACCGGCGCGTTCTGTGTTGTTTGTTCTTTTTTGTTAAAAAGAAAATATTTGATAGCATAGATAAATCAGTGTTCTAATAACCAGCGGTACCTACTTATATTATAACTAAATAATTTATTCATTGTGGTCCACAAAATTGATCATGATTTAATCATTAAAGTACCGACAGACCGGCGGCTTAAAAAAATTTGTCTGGTGATGAGCCCCAAATACCAATTAAGTAGTGTGTATTTATTTAGAGTTAGGGTTATGTATTTTTTCTTTATTTCTTATAAATGCATGGTAAGAAAAATAAAAATACCTATTTTGAAATGTACAAATTAAGCCCTTTTATAGGTACGATAAGTAGCGTAGGTTAAATTACCCACAAAAAACAAAATTTAAACTACCTATTCTTTGAAACGATAGTATTATTAATTACCTACCTACATTAGAAATAGAGAATCTGATAGACAGATGGATAGTAGAGGAAGTTACCGCAGTGATTTTTTTTCAACATATGTATTTTAATTATCTATTTATACTTTTGCACACTAAAATATATTTACAGGGCGGAGTTAATGCTTGATTGCATTCTCTACCAGTCAACCGTTACGCTAAACAGAGAGACTAAATTATTATTAATTTGAATTTCGGAATCCTATGAATCTTAATATGTAGGTAGATATAGATTAAATTTAGATATTTATAAAGCTTGATCACTCATCACTTCATTTGTTCTACAGATAATCTACGTAGGACCCTAAGTAGGTACTTATACGTGGCTATGTGTAAATCGATACTGAGGTATTTTCGTGTCTACCTACCCCTCTATATAGCAAAATTATCAATAATTATATATTATGTTATTAATTATAATAACTATACGGTAATAATATAATACCAATGTAACATAGTTGTTCTGTTTTTTTTATTCTGTCCATATCACCTGCCTTTCAGGCTTGGTCCAGTTTATGATACGGCTGGCATAAATAAACGAACACCTTTGGTATGAACACATTGCTGACAAAATCGTCTGTATGTAATTAGATTAGGTAGGTATTTAGTAGTTTAACTAGTAAGTCGACACAGCTTTGCTTGTATGAAGTCGTTTACGTAAGGTGTCAAATTAATTAGGTTTCTACTAGATATTTTTTCTCAATGATAATAAATTGTAACTCTGTTAATTCCTAATGGATGACTGTGAAATGGTAACCCAGTCTACGCCATCAGTATACACTGTCGGGGCTCCAGTGAGTTTTGATAGGTGATGATGAAACCAGGTCAGTTAGCCCATTGTGACAATTACTAACAATATTCTTGTATGGCAGTAAAATTACTCGGTACGAGATACAAAGGTATAATCTTCATGGACATCGCAGTGCATTATGTAATTTCACAGTGTTCTTAGTGAATGATAATAGGATGTAATCCCGCCTACGCTATCGGTATATGCTGGGCAGCAGTGAGTGGTGATAGGTGAGGATGAAACCAGGTCAGTTAGCCTGTTATGACGGATTCAACAAGAATTAATCATGACGATTTCAAGGAGGAACCGCGTGGAGGTCGACCTGATAGGCTATATTGTTGGCAACGGAGATTAACGTCCCCATTACAAACAACCACCCGCACTACTGCTGGTTTATGCTGGCGATGTACTAGTGAAGAATAATTCTTGATTAATTTGTCACGATGGGTCAATCGATCTGACTGGGGGTGGGGGAAGGTAGTGCTACTAATGCAGACTACCAGTCCCATTGCTAGCTATATACTCTGTCAGGTCGACCGCCATGTGGTACCCCCTGGAAACCATCTTGTTGAATTCCGGGTGTATTCATTACGATGTGCCTGCCTTTACATTCGTACATATCATCCCTCACTGATGCCTCGCTAGCGTATACTGTTAGCGCAGGCGTTTTCTTGCCATTATCACCCATTAAAAAAGCCGATCTAATTTCATCGAAGGAAGGTATTATTAGTAATAGGTATGTTAGTCACCATCGCCAATAATATACCCTGTATGTTCGAGCTTCACGCGGTCCCTCCTGGAAACCGTCGTGGTTAACTCATAGTGAATTCGCTGTGATGCACGGTAGGCTAACTGACTCGTCTTCGTGCCCGTCATTTCATATTCAATTGACTCATCAAAATATATCGTTGGGATAGATGTACAATTTCATTTCATCCATTAAAAAAAAAAGACTTCATCCTCAAGTATCGTCACTACTCGCCATTATACATTATTAACTTAGACGAGTACCTACCAGTCCATTTTCATTTACTAAGTAATCTCTGCACATAGGTATCTGGGTGAAAGGGATTTTTAGTAGTAGGGATTTAACAGCACCATTGCTAGCAATATATCGTAATAGGTCGATCTGGGGGAAAGGGGTTGTTAGTAATGGAGACTGAGAATCCTATTGCTAGCAATATACCCAACCAGGTCTCCTCGCGGTTCTCCCTGGAAACTATCATGGTTAATTCCTGATGAATTCATCATGATGGGCTAACTTGCCTGTTTTCATTCTTATCTATCATCCATCACTGGTGCTCCGCCAGCGTATCCCGGTAACGCAGGCGGAGTTATCATATCATTTTCACCCATCAAAAAAAAACAGGTCGATCTTCACGCAGTTCCTTCTGGAAACCATTGTGGTTATTTTTTGGGAAATTCGTCACGATGGATGGTGACGCAATTTAGTTGGCCTGCTCTCACCCTCACCTATGATGCTCCGTAATCGTATACCGATATCGTAGGTGGGAATATTTTATTCATTCTATCTTTATCTATTATAGAAAGATCTGAGTTCATTCTTAACTGTCATCATTTACTGATACCTCGCCACTATACATTATTTACATAGGCAAGTGTACTTATATCAATCCATTTTTATTTATAAAAAAATCTATGACCATATGTACTTACAAAACAAACGCATCCGTTCATACTACATCTATTTATAATAGCTTACTGGCGTCCATGGATTACACAGCTTTTGTATGAAGAGTGATAATGTTAAAAAAATGCTATATTTTAGCTAATTGTCCCAGTCGGTCTATTTTGTCGCTTAGAATTTATTGTAGATAAAATACTTATTAAAGTAGGTATTACGAGAACCATGAGCAGACCATAGTAGGTACATAGGCTCAATATAACGTACTTACATAATCTAAGAGTAGATACTAGGCTTTTACTAATCCTACGCAGATGAGTAGCGACTTCATTACCTAATACCTATCTACTCACCTTTATATCGATAGATATATATTAGGTACCTCTTACCAATTACATTCGGTCATTGAACTAGCGCTTAAGATAGCTGCAGACAGCACAAATTAAATAGCAGTGCAGTTAGACTAACTAAGTCTAGATTTGTTCATATATTTTCTTTCTTATAGTCTTAGTTAAGTACCCACTTACCTGCGTAGGTAGCTAGTGTAGGTACTTAACCGCATTTTGTTTAATAATGTAAAAATAACGTGATTTGCTTTGTAATGGTTATATTGCTTAAGTAAGTTACTTTGATTTGCATACAAAATGTCATGACTGCGTTGTTTAGCAATGACAAAAATAAAAAAAAACAAAGAATTCGATGTACTTACGCATTCCGTGCCTATAGACTCATAATGTACCTACCTACAAGTATACATTGGATATTCATTTGTGTATGTGACACGCGACTAAAGCCGCGGGAAATAGCTAGCAGCTAACAGCCAATAACTGTCCACTGCTGAACATAAGCCTCTCCCTTAGGGGGTTTTGCTAGTAGTCGCCACGCTTGGTAGGCGGGTTGGCAACCGCAGTTAGGCTTTGAAGATGTTTTAAGAAGGACACTTTTGCCCATCGCTCACCCTCCCCTAGTCTAGGAAGAGGCGACTAAGGGTAAGAAAGGGGTGGCCTATTTTGTGCCGGGACCACACGGTAAACTGAACTATGATAATGTCAAATTTTTTTGTTGTATATATTATTCGCTCATAATGTAACTTTATAGTAATAGAATTTTTAAATTCGGGTACTTCAATATTTTTTAGTTTATTCATTACAAACAGGAACCAAATCTTATCTCTTAACATTTTCTTTAACATTGAAAAAAAAAATATAATGTAAATTTAATTAATGAAAATTTAACTATTATCGTAATGAATGTAAACTATAGGTGTATACCTGAAATAAAAATATTTATTATTGTTATATGGCAGCAACACAAGAGTAAAACCTTAATCGATTGCAAAAAAAATCATTAAAATCAGCTCATAATTGGCGATGATATTGCGTAACAAATTTATCATTCGCTGCTGAACAAAGATTTAGATATAATCCTATACGTAGGTATATATTACCGTAATAAGGCTGAAGATGCTAAAATCCATCAGAATATTCGAGAATGTCCCTCAAGGCAATGATTTGATCATTGCCTTGCGGACATCTTACTTGGTATGGGAATAGCCAATCTGTCCATTTGCGTTGATTTACAAAATGACCGATTCGTCTTCTAGAATTGACGTTATCTGTTTCGAAGATTTATTATTACTTTATCAAGTGTCCTTTATCATATTATATTATGTTTGCAAAAATCACTATGACAAAGAATTTCTGTATTAATTCTTACTAGACACATCTCGCAGCTTTGACTGTTGTCTGAATTGGGACTGTAAGTATTCTGTGTGTTAATCTAGGATCCTGTATGTTAGTCTATTTATGTATCAAGTTTTATTACAATCTGTCCAACTGTTTAAGCGTGATTGAATACAAAACATGCAAAAACTTTACAAACTTTTACATTTATGTTATCCTTACGAATATTA